CTTTTGTTGCTAGATTTGGCTCTTTATTTTCCTGTTTAGCTCCGAAAATTGGGACTTAGCTCCTAGCTCATTTTTTAGCTCTTTTCAAAATTAGCTAGCACTTTTCTAGCTCCAGAAAGTTTTAGTTATATTTGGTAATCTAATAAAATTAAAAATCCGTAGTTTCGTTGTACAAGTGTTGACTTAAATTCATTTGGCTTTGGTGATCTCAGGCTATTTTCGATACCTTAATGTTATTCTATTTCAATTGATACTTAGAGAATTTCCGTTGTTTAAAAATTTTCTGAGATAAGGCGTTTTTGAACTGGCTGCCGATAAGGGCGATTTTCCACTAAGCCATCGATATACTCGAAAGCAAATATCACTTATATATCACAGTGGTCTTGAAACAATGATAGGTATGACTAAAATGCCAACCAAAACTGCTTGCATACCTGTTTTGGAAGGCACCCATACACCAATATGCAGTTGGAATTAAAATCATATCTGCTCCTATGCCTAAAATATTGTCAAATGAAAATTTGGAAAAAATTTAACTGCAATTGTTAGTATTTCTTGTTCAACAGAGTATTCTAAAGTTATCGTTTTGNAAACATATGCCTTTAACTTAAAGATGCTTTTTGGGGCAAAGTGTAGGTGTATCATCCTTTTCTGACATTGAGGCTTAATACTTATTACGGTTTTCTGCGACGGCATATCACTCAATGAATAGCTCTCCCAAAAGCGACGAAGACCACTTAAACATAACTCAAGCTTAAGCTTGACTGACTTTTCCATATGCTATGTTCTGTAAGAATGCCTATAAAAATACTTATTCTCTTTTAAGAAATATCAATTAAAGACTTAAATGTCTTCTTGTTATATCCGCCTCCCCTTCCTAATACGTTTATATATGTAGAAATGAAAATACATTTGAGAAAATTGCGGCACACGTGGTATTTCATTTCCAAATGACACAAAGTTAATTAGTAAATTGGTGTCATGAGATTTTTCTTTGCTGCCATTTAAAAAACTCAGCATATGTATGTATGTACATATATGTTATCGTAAAATTTTGTATACAGCTGCAAGTGTAGCCGAATATCACTTTTCCGAAAGTCAATAAACTTGTCCAATTTACCAATATACAGCTACCACCAAGTGCAGTTGCATACATACTACATATGTATGTACTTATCTACAAACATTTATTTGTGTAGCTTATGGCTTACAGAAATACTACCTCCTGCTGCTTGCGTTTATGTTCTGCAGTTTTTGGTTGTTCTCTGAACTTTTCGTTTTTTAAGAAAACATTTTATGGCTTAAACTAAACAAGGTTTTTAAAAGAAACTGGATTTGCAGCTGCCCAGAACGATCTGTGCTTATGTATGTATGTATGTGTATAGGTGTGTATAGGTGCTTCGTTACATTCTGAGGTGAATGCAGTTGGTTGCAAAATAAGGTGATTGTTTGAAGGACAAATATTTACAATTTTAAAATGTTCGATTTTAAAATGAGATTAACAATAGAGCAAATACAGCACAGCTTTTATTTATAATAGCAACTAAACTCCATTAGACAAGACCAAAAAACTTTACTACAGCATAGTGGTTTGGTGGAAATAGGCTATAAGAAATAATGTATGCAGAGGGGGGACCATTTTTGTCTCTAATTTCACACTCCTTGCTCTTCCTTTTGCGAATTTTCTCGTCAAGCCACGTACAACAAATGCTTGGTTGATCATCAAGCTTTAAACATCGAGCTACTTACAGCCCTCCAATTTAGTGTGTTCATTGAGAAGTTTGTTAAAAGTGCCTAACCGTTAGAGTTGTGGAAGAAATCTGTTAAGTTTTTCCATTTTTCGAGATAACATGAATGTGGAGTTAAGTGGAGTAGACTATAACATCCACGTGTATACATATTTTTTTTTTTAATTTTTAACGGTATGCTCATATGCACTAATCAAATGATGTTGTAAGTTGCAGTGAGATTTCCTCCTTCGCTTCCACTTCCGGTTCATTGTGTTTCTCAACTACATACATAGATACATATATGCAAATAGCAGTAAGTGCGCGCGCAGACGCACATTAAAACCAACAGAAACATTAATCGCTTTACTAATAACAAGTGTTAAAATTGCAATACGTACGAATGAAAAGACGAAGAAGGAAAGTTTTTCAAGAGAATTTTACATAACTTGCCTTTTTAACTAAAAAAAAATATTTAAAAATATAAAAAATTCAAAAGTCTCCAAAATCAACATCGAAGACATAGCAATGCCTCTCAGGAAAAGTTTGGTGTGTTATTTAATTTATAATTTCTTTTCCCATCTTTTTGCTTTTTGATATGTGTTGGACAAACAACAAAGGCTTCGGTATTTCATAACCGCAGCACAGCATATATGTACATGTTACGTTTCATCGTCAAACTACTTAATTTAATTAGTTACATAATTTAATTACCAAGCCGCATATTGCTATATTTATGGCAGCAACGTACAGCACGTATGCAACAGTTTTCATTTTATTAAATGGAATTTGCATAGAGAATCAATCAAAGCGGCAAAATATACAAGTGTGTATGTATGTATATGCGTGCATGTAACACGACCTAGATACTCAGCATGCAATCGTTTGTGAGGTAAAACCGTTATTTTAATTTCGGTCGCTACAAGCCGCTTGTGTGCGGCACTTTGGCAAATATTTGAGTAATTGATTACAGCCATTTTCTTTAGGCCCCCAGTGAATGTGCATAGAGAATGGTGTAACCCAAAATTTCCTCTGCATGTTTTTTATAGACCTACCTATTACTGTAATAATATTATCTGTAAATTAGGTAATATGCACTTAAGATCATTTATTGCTAGAAGAGTACGTACATATACATCATCATTTGACGGCACCGTAAACAAGAAATTGCGAATAAGACTTCATTAAAATCCCTGACAAAGAGTAAAACCTTCATCAAAACATTTTAAAGGCACCAGCAGTTATCCAGTGACGGTGGAATACAGAATGTCTGGCAATCTCAAACCTTATTTGCTGAAAATATAGGGTGCTTTCGTCCTAATAATATTTTCTTTATTGATCATTTTTGTAGTCTCTTTTACAACTCGAAATTCATCTCTCGCTGACTTGATCTTAAGAAACTACTTAAAAAAAGGCCTTCTTTCTACTTCGACTAGAGCCTTGCGACCATGGATGGGTTATCTACATATTTAGCATTATATTTTCCTAAGGAGATAGTCTAACTCCGGTCGCGGTTGATAAAATATGGATTTTTGAGATTGTTTTACATTGGAATAAAACAATTTTTTGCAACCCGTGCAATCTTTGTAACAGCTTTAATAACTTTTGAACCAGTTTCTTGGAGGAATCCGGCAATTTTTTTCGATCACGGCCTTACATCTCGACGACCGAAAGTTCAACACCAACTCGGTAAGAGTGAACTCAAAACGCTATTTAAGGAAAATCTAGAGATGGTAAGCATTTCGAATTCTTCAAAAATTATTCTATCGCAGTCCGCTATCCGTACCTATGTATGTATGTACTTTTTACAGGTCTCTTAATGGAATTGTTGTGCATGTTGGTACATAGATAAAATTTTACGATCTATGCAAATGTCGTTTAAAAGCAAATCTACATTTACTTAAGCCTTCAAATACTCATACAAACATATCTAAGAACTTTTAGCTCTTATGTGGCCGAATGGACACAATCGACCCACCGGTTGTGACCATTTGATCTGAAAATATTTTAGAAAAGTTAGCATGCGAGTGGTCTAAAGTTATAAGGAAAATTGTAAAATTGCTTCGGCGGTTAATCTTCAGAAGGAGAATGAAAAAAAAAATAGTTTTTGGTTAAATAAAAAAAAGTTCTAATAAATAAAAAAAATATTCTTAGCCTTTGACGAATATTAAAATAACTTAAATTAAGATTATTACAAGTTTTTCCAAAGAGGCAGCGGTTATCTGCAGGAATTATATAGTTTGAGACTTCTGTCATAATATTTCGAAAATAATTTTAAGATCGGCGTGTGCTGGCCCGATTTGAAAATACCTCCGAATTCGAATTCTTTTGATTTTGTTGATAAAATGTTTAAAATATTTATGCAGACCTCTTAACCTCAAACTTTTCTATCATCTGAGGCAAATTTTTGGAAAAAATTTTTAAAAGCTAATTTTATTTATAAAAACTAGATTTTTGGAGGTATTTTCATATCGGTGCAGCTCAAGAAGATCATAAAATTTTCGGAAATATTTTGGCAGAAGTCCTAAAATATAAAAAATTTTATGAATGCGACGGAAAAACCGCACCGATCTTTTTGTATAGTTATTCATGCTACATATGTATTTATGTTTGAAACTTAATTCTTCGAACTAAATACGTAAAGGTTAACTTTTAGCAAACATTCCGATAGTTTAAAAAACTATTAAGCATACTTTTGTACGAGCACAAATGTCTGACTCAGTGGTAAAAACTATAACAAAGACCATGTAAATATATTTGCATGTGCACGCACTTAAGTGGGGTTAAGTAAATTGCAAATGAGGTTCTACGCTGTTTTATGAGTTGTAAGCTGGCACGAGGCAAGCAAACGACGCACACAATTCGATTTAATTTGATTACTTTGCATGCGGTGCGCCATACCGAGGGCTTGCAAAACATCGAAATATTTGCGAGGTATAACATACTACATTGCCTCTGAACCTTTTTTTTTTTTTGAGTTGCAATGTTTTAATGGCTAAGAGTCTAAAGCATCTCTAAAGCTTCAACTAGTCAAAGGCGACTTTTACCGAACCATTTTTTTGTGGCTAATTATCTTGCGCAACAGTTCCTTAAATAAATATACATATATGTACAAATGTACATACGATCAGCTTTAAATTTATGTTTTTGTTTTGGCTTGTAAGACACTTCTTATTATATGTAACTTTTATTGCTTTTTTTCAGATGTTAAAATTTCATTACCATAGTAAAAGAAAATTCAAAGTTTCCGCACAACAAAAATATTCAACGAGAATGGGCGAAGCTGCTGCCCTGTGGTGTCTGCTGCTAGCGCTTTGTGTGACGATACAGCTCAATGGTGCGCGAGCTCAATCGAATTATGTGCAACAAGGCGACAGCGGCAACTACACAACAAACGGCTTGCCCGAGGAGGCAACACTGGATGGAAAGGTATG